TGAAAATATGTACCCTTGGCTACATCCTGTGATTTTTCAACTGTATTGTTTCAACTAGGTACAATGACGACACAACAATAAGCATCTTCTCTGCCCACGTCCCTCCTAGTCCTGTCCTTTGGAAGGAAGAACAAAGCCATTGCAAGTTTCTCTGACAGACCCCAAGGGCCCAGGGTGACACGCAATTCCCCTTCCCAGCATCGTCCTCGTAGCTCAGAAGTCGGAAGAATAAGCAGCAGCAAAGAACTAGATATTTATCACAACTGGTCTGTCATGGCACACACTTCATTGAAAAAGTCTCAAGACCATCCTAAACACTACAAAGGGGCTATCCTCTAAAAAGAACTGGATATTTTATGGGAGTAGTTAACATGCATCTCTATTCAGCACCTTATGTCTCACAGTCTGTCCCGAATTCAAAAAGCGGCCTATTTGATACAGTCTCAAGTCCCCCAAAAAATCATTGCCTCAAAGAGGGAGAACAATAGCAAGAGATAGCACTCCTACAGAATACAGCTGCTTCATTACCTAGGCCATTGCAAGCACTGTATTTCACCCACAGAATTCAGTAGCTTGATATGTATTTACAATTGCAGTGTAAAGCACTGATGTCAATGTATAGACCTCCTATATGACTTGGGATCCTGCAGAACTGTAGCAGGTAAATTCATTTGTTTGTATTTTGAGAGACTGGTTAAATATTATACTGTTCAAACCAGAACTGAGCAAACTCCATTTACTGTATCAGTGAACCCTCTTGACTATACAAGCATGCCTCTTCTATTTATTCTCCTGCCAGACTCTTAGGATGAGCTGTGATGTTTAAGACAGCAGTCCACAGACAAACATACCTTCAGGCTTAAATTTCACAGGGGACAGTGACTCTGGAATTCGCTTTTCCTCTTAGGCCAGGATGACACAATTTCCTCCTCTTACCTCTGCTGCTGCTTCCTTGTTGTTAGGCTAGAACTGTTCCACCCCATGGCAAGTTTTCCTCCATCTCAACCTAACCACTGGGCTGGATTCACCCTTCCAACTTTTCAGAAATTGATTTTTTATTTTTTTAGTAAAACAAACAACAAACCTGATTAGTTGTTTTTTGAGGCTTAAATATTTCCCCCTTGATGAAGTCTAAATTATACATCAATAAATATGGACATAAACAGTAATACTAAGTAAGCAAACAAGCAGCATTAAAGTAGTATTCCTTGAGCTTAAGCTTAAGCTTCCTCTCTTTAACTATCGCTCATAAAATGTTTCTGAAATGGAATAAAATGTACAAAATCTAGTGAAAAATTACATCATTGTTACCAAAAACAAGACAGAAGAAAAAAATCCAAACACCACATTCAGCAGAATTTGGTTTTACTATTAATTGCTACACTCAAGACTCATAAATAGATTGCACTAATAAATATTTTCACAGAACTTCATGAGACGCAAACTGTCAAAACACCACCTCATCAAACAAAAAAAAAGAAACAGAACTAATTAGGGTCCCATTAATCCAGATTCAGCTGCTCCTTAATACCTTCTACCATCATGCAAAAAGATTAGTTGCTTGCTAGGATTTTGGTATTCCTATTATGCAATAGGTTAACACAAATTGTAAATAGTCAGTGAGTGGAGCAATCAAATTAAGCGCCATGGTCAATGCATTCTGTGACTTACTGCCTTTGCTGTGCTGTCTGCTTATTTATACTCCATTTTTGCAATTTCAGTAATCTGCAATAGCGCTCTAAGTCATTGTGGATGTTTTTGCTTTGCTGAATTTTAGAATCCAACAGAGCTATTTAAAAATGTATACATATTTTCTACAACGTAGCCTTTTCACCGCAAGCCACTTAAACTAAAAGCAAGCTACTTCATAGAAAAAAAAAAAATCTCACCCCAGAGATACAATTATAAACACACACAGATACATGTGCCATCCCAGTTAGGTAAGAGGGATGGAAGTTCAACAGCAGAGTAATTCCCCTATGAGTCTAGGCACCCACAAACCTAACCACACAACTCTCCCCTCCTCTCTTCAAAGATGCATTCTTTCATTCCTGAAAGGTTAGTGATGTTTTCCAAGGGACCACTCAAGCTATGTAAGGATTTGTGCTTTCACTGTGCTCTCCCTTCGAGCAAAAAGTTCTCTTTGGCCCTGAAGAGTAATCTGTTTATCCCCCAAAATCTTAAGCCCACTTTTTAGGGAGATTTACATAGCATATTGTTGGGAGATGCACCTATAGAACATACTGCTCTGTCTCTTGCTCAGGCCAACTCATCCCATTGCAGAACTCAGACCATCTTGTGTGTACTAAGAGCAAATGGTAAGCACACCAGGTGCCTTGCTGCAAATCACTGCTCTATCACATCAGAAAAGCTACAGGAAAAAAGCAGACTCAAATCAAGATGTGGGAAGAGTCAGCAACCATCACTCCATGCTGAAGCCCGTTTGGGCAGAGAGGGAAGATGCTACTGCTCTCCATTTCCTCTCTCAGCAGGCTCTTTCACAGTGCAACTGCATTTTTTATCCAGTTGAGACTAAGGAATAACAGCATCGGTCATGGAAAGAAACAGGTGGAAGATGAAAAATTATATTATTTTATTCCCAACGTAATCTCTCTCTTGCTTGCAGCATACATGTCCAGCAGTAATCCCCAGGGAATCTAAATCACATATCCAAAAGCCCCCTTCCATACTGAGCTGAATCTATGCATCTTCTGTTTCTTGCTGTTTCCTTGGAGAATGGCACAGTATCTGTTTTGTTCAGCAACTAAAGACTCCAAGGAAGACTGGGACACTACCATCCCAGCCAAAAGTGAACGTAGCTGAAGTCCAAGGTGGAATGATACTTTTATGCTGAACACTGCAATTAGGACATTCACCAGTTTTCTGAGACTGCAAACTTCCTTGGATTCAATGCTTTTTCAAGCTTGTTTGTGGTAGGTTTTTAGGAGAAAGCAAAAATTAAATTTTGGAGAAATGACAAATACTAGATAAATCATAGTACTGTGCCAGACTCTGATCATACTCCTCATGTCTGACTATCAGGCATTAACTATATTATCAAAAAATTATTCCTCTGCCTATATCAAAAACCAAACCAGACTGAAGTATGTTTCATTTTCACTGAAAGGTTTTTCAATTTAAATGAAGGACAACTTCAACTGATTGAAAAGCATCTCCTGTGATGCCATTTGAGCCTAAAAGACAATTATGTATCATTACATTATATCAGACCTTCCTATACATGCTCTTTCCCAAGCAAGAACAGAGATGCCAAAAATTCTACTGAGGCCCCAGAGATTCCAGGAAAGATAAAATATCCTAAATAATAAAGTTTAGGTAGAATTCATAGAACATGCAAAGATACTGTACAAATAAGTAGCCCACCCTTCTCACCAGTTCTGGCAAAAGGGATGTTGAATGATGTTTGCACACAACCATGGTGAAAATGGCAACAGAAGAAGAGGGATTTTCTGACCAAAAAGGCATGTCCGAGGGAAATAACAAAAAGGTGAAAGAAGAACCAACCAGAGCCCAAAAGTGTTGATGGAGAAGTGTCTCTGTGTCAGCCAGAGCTCAGTGTGTCACTGTAGAAGGTACAGTTCTCTAACCATTGTTCATAAGGTTCCCACATTCGTTTATAAGTGGTAAAGGTATGAAACCTCGGTACCCTGGGATGTGATTTAGTGAGCAGTTTCAGTCGTCAGAAGTATGAGCTGATGTGGAAAGAGGCGGCTGTCTCCCAGCCTGGCTTACCACACAAGGGTTAGTGCTGCAGGTGGGAAAGGCCATGGGACCACCCCTTCTGATGGCATCTGCACTCAGGTCAGCTTAACCTGCTCAAGCCTGCAGGTTGGGAAAGGTAATTCCAAACCATGTGGTTCAGGAGCCCTGCTCTACATTACCAGTTTGCACATTTTTCAGTATTTCGAGTTCTCACTTCCTCAGGGCAATTGAGTTCTTGCAGTCCCTCCCATTAACAGCCTGGTTTCACAAGGGGAACAAGATAAGAGGATGCAGCCAGTCAATTAGTGTGCTGCAGCTAATGGACAATAACTCACTAAAAGCTGTTTAAGCTGCTTTTTGTAACTCTGTGCTGAAAACATGTGGTAAACCAGGTTGTAACCATACAGTTCTCTCAGACAGCCGCTGTTCTGTTGCTCCAGATGCTTGCCTTCCTGTGTCTGTATGTGTTTCAGTTCTGAGACAAAATGCTATCTGCTAACTATCTAAAAGGATAAACACATCAGGGAAGGAGAAGGACTGTGTGAGACTTAAAAACTCAACACTTTATGTTATACTAAATTGTTTTTCTAAGGTATGGCTATGTTCTCTTCCTTCTTATTCTTTTCTACCAGAATCCATAACGTTTAGTTGTAACTTTATATAAAAGAAATCAAAAGGTGGGGAATATATACGTAAGTTATTTGGTAAACTAGTTACATATGCCTCCCTAGAACAGCACTGAGACTTGTCTAAAAGATTTAATTATTGCTTTTTGTTTACTAAGCATGGAAATGACGAAAACAGAACTGAAGTTCTTAGACACTGTTCATTTTCCATACAAACTATACCACCCACACAGATTATTTCTGCTACATAAAGAAAGAAAAAAGAGGAAAAAAGCAAGGGCACTCACAACCAGAGATATTTTTCTATGACCCACCTACAAGTTACAGCCTGCAGTTGGATCTTATTCAACTCTGATTAATTCCAAAGTACCCTGAAGGCTGAAAGCTGATCATGCCATTTAATTTGACTTTTGGTAGCAGAAAACTCGAGGTAGGATTATCAGAGCAAAAAAAAATTCAGAGGATTCTGTGAAACAAAGCATTCTGTCTATGTACCGCCTACTCAAAGTTTATCTTAAATACATCTATCTGCATCCTCGCTTTTCATATGTACAGGACACTCTTTTACCCTAAACCAGAGAAATGTGTTCAGCTTGCTTTTAAGAGGCTTAATAGCACAAAGTGCAAAGAAGAAAAAACTATGAAACCTACTTTTTGTTCTGCTGTCCACTTCTATTTTTGTTGGCTCCTGAGTTGCTGTGGCTGGAGGTAATTTCTTCCCAACACTCTGAAAAAAAAAATTATTCTCCTTTAAAATTTGCAGGTTCAGTTCAAAGTTGGATAACATAAAAAATTGTAATGGAAATACAAAATATAGGAGTAGAAAAAGGACAGTAAAGAAAGAGAGGCAAATTAAACTATACTTAGGTTTGTCTGTGGGGTTTTTGTTACTTTTTTTTTAAATGATAAAGAATTCATAAAAATGTGATCCTCAAATTTTCCCTTTAAAAATGTTTACTAACATTTTTTAACATTAACTCCTTCACATGGTTTCAGGGAAGACTCACAGAATTTTCATTGGTGGACTGAATATGTGATGAAATTACTTAAGGAAAGGTGTTATTCAGTACCAAAAATAAAATTGAAAGAATAGTGGGGGAAAAAACCCCTTGACTTCTGTCCATACAAGGACTATTCATTTCAGTCATTCTAGATTGAGTGTGATTTTTAAATTGACAACATCTCTTTAAATGGTTCCCGTAGTTGTTTATTTTGAGCAAAAATAACTAATTTACAGAGGAGTACCACAATAAGCAATAATCAGCCTCAGATAGGTAAGCTGAAAGAACAATAAACAAACATTATCTGCCTCCAACAAAATAAAATAAAATCGGTGATATTCATCTTTATGTATCTGTACCAATCACTATACGCATGCTATCCCCTCTCTCACTCAGCTCTTCTCCCTGTCAAGAAAGCTGCCTACCTTTAAAACCCCAGCCATGTGTAGTTGAGGACATAAATGTAATTATTACTTGTTTACATAGATATGAGTACTTAAAAGCCCTAGCTGTTGTTCAACGTCCTTTTCTGGTAACGTATGCATAAACACCACAAAACCTCCTCCATACTCCAGTGACCTTCTGAGTAAAAGCTAAGAGACAAGAGAGCTAGGATTTAGTCTTGAAGGCACTGAGGACCTCTTAGTCAATATGAGAAGCAACAGGAGGACAGCATTTTAAGTAGTTGAAAAATGTCAAGGTCTATAAAGAATATGAAGAGCTCTGTATTAGTCATTTTGTACACTGTGTCAGAATTTATCTATGAAAAGGAGTAAAATACACACACAGGGATTTTAGACTGGCAAAAACAGCACCTCTGGAAGAGAGGCAGTTTTGAGAGTTGTACACAAGACAGTCATCAAATTTCTGTTGACAAGTAAGACAAACTATGAATTGCAATACCCAAAAGTGGCCTGTTGCAATTTGACTTGCAGGTGGCAGCAGAAACAACTGACCTTCTGATGACGTTGCAACTCTACTTACAATCCCGAGTTTGTGAACCGCTGAGGGAAGAGAGATCAACAACAAAACTCTACAGAATCTCCCAACTTCTTTGCTGAGGTGGGAATGAGAGATGAGAAGCATTATCTGAAGCAGCTATTAGGGAGGTAACAGAAAAACAGGAGATGACAGACTCTGCAAATCAGGAGAGGGCAAAACTAAGAGAAGAGCATGACCTGGCTGTTTTAAGCATGAAATATATATGCTATATATGCTCTGATATATAGCACCTTTAAGCTTAAAGCCAAGAAGGAGCTGAAGATGCTGATGATGATGATGATGATGATGAAGAGCTGACTCTTGAGATCTAGCTGGAAAGGACTGAAAATTGTGCTGGAAGAGATATAATGAAGAATCTGAAGCTACCGGGCATTCACACAGATAAAAGCACAGAATGCCTTCAAGATGAAAGCAAGACTGGGAAGACAGCTTTTTGTTCAGAGGCAAACAGTGCAGTTCAAGATAGCTGCACATCTCAGCACATGCTCATTCATGATCAAACCTGTATTCACAGTTCTGCCTCATAAAATGGTTTGGAAAATGATGAGAGCATATACTCTAAACTGCACTGATATTTAATTCAGAAAGGAGTACTTACTAAAGGAATATCCAAAAACTTTCATTTAGGGGAGTTTTTCTTTTCTTAAAGATGAAATTGTTATTCAAGAACAATAAATTAAAGGAAAGCATTTGGTAATTGCTTTATCATGCATGAATCATTGATCTTATGCCATGAAACCAAAACCCAGATAAACCCACAACAAGCTTAAATTTAACAAGCTAAAAATCGCAGCAAAAGAATCATGGGCAAAGAGGAAGAAACTAGTGTATCCCAGCAGGAAGGGCATGCTGCAATGTAATTTCTTAATTTATAGAAGCAGATGCAAGTGCAATACTTGAAAACATTCATTCATCTGCTCGTTCAGAAAGAATGCCTGTGCAGGTGATAAATCAGCATGGGGAACCAACAGACTCCTTGGGAACAGAAAAGAGAATTCCATCCAAACAAGGCTGTTCTTTTGTTGGGAGCTAGAGACAGGTTGGAAAGCAGTCTTTGCATGAGTTGCAATTTGTTCAGGAGAGAAGGTAAAAAGCCCAGGGAGCAAGGTGGCTGAAGACATGACTCTTTTTGCACACATAGAAATAGCCCGAGCAAAGAAATGAGAAACTGGACTCCTGACAGGTCTACTGATAGATGAAGAGCAGCGCAAAACTCGGTGTAGCACATGGAATATGCTGAAAGATCAGTGACCTACAAGATCCAAAGATCATTTGTTGCGGAATGAGCAAAGTTGTCCCAGAATTCCATGATAAGAAGAAGGAATGTTTATATCTACTAGGAGGATAAAGAAAGTTGTAATTCAAATAATTTAAACAGGGGTTGTGCAGAAGCCACTCTAGTGAGGAGGGACACCTGAATTTGTTGTGGGATAGCGAGAGGAGAAGACAAGTGGAACTGGTATCCTTTAATTGTAAGGGGACTGCACCCAAGGATTTATAGGGGTGACATAAGCATCACTGACAGGAAAAAAGAAAAAAAATGGATAAGCCATGCAAATCTGGTTTCAGGTGGACCTGCGCTGCCAAGATGTTTTACTCTTCCTGTAAAATGGTACTAAAGGAGATTTTTTTAAATTGTGATTTATTTATGTTTACAATTGGTCTATACTGATCCATGCATTTGCATGGAAAACAGTTGTTACCACTTTCTGAAAACATCTCCATGAAATTTAATATAGTACTCATTTGTTCATTAGGAAACATGCAAGATAAACTCTCCTCACTCTAAGATACACTGAATTCTCTATGAACTGTTAAGTCTGATGGTTCTGCTTTAACAGGATAAAACCTCAAGTATAGTTAAGATCTGTGTGCTGGGAGTCCCAGATCAAGTAATATTATCACAGTTACCGATTTTTCTGACAAGAAGAGAGAAATGGGAGACAGACACATCTCCTCCAATATGAGCCAGAAACTTTCCTTCTGACTCTCCAACTGTTCTACATCACTCATACTCCCATATAGGTCAAATATCTACCAAATTTACTAGTGGCTAGGAGAACCGAGCAAGCCCAACTTAAATTCTTGCTGATCCAACACGCATCTCCCTGACAGAGACTTTTCTTCCCAGGAACTAGTTACTATAGGGTATTTTGGTTTCTTCTCCAGTTGAAGGCCCAGCATAATTTATCAAAACCTCCTTCACCTCTAAAAAAGGCAACATGGGAGCAAAGGACACTCTAATGGGGTTGAACTGAAGATTTCAGTATAATTCTTTGTCCTCCTCTGTTCTTCCTTTACATAAGAAGAAAGTCAATTCAGAAAAAAATGTCCTCCAAGCCCTTCTGGACACATTGATCTATGCTGCAAAATACTGATACACAACTCCAGCTTTCACATTACTTAGTCTTTTACTTGATTCATTCCTACCTATCAGGCTCAATATTCCCAAGAGGCAAGCAGATCTTACCCCTTTGGGACACAGGCACAAAACAAGATTTAGAACTTGAAGGACTTTTTGGGAATTTAGACACTCCAAATCCAAAAGCAGGATCCTCAACCCTGCCGGTATCCCCTGACATCTCTCAGCATGAACTCCCTCTCTCCAGTTACCTAACTCTATCATTTTGTCAATAACGTTTGCAATAAAAAGCCACATGCAGCATGAACCAGAACGCCCATAATGACGCCCTTCCAGCAGTGTCCTAATTGCCAGGCTGCAAAGACAACTGAAGTTCTGCATTTTCTCTCTGGCCCTGTATATCTTGAACTCTTGGCTGCACAATGGTTTCAGCACCAGCAAAAAGGGTAGCATATTCCCCTCTGCCTTTGTATCTCTAGCCTGGTGGTTCAGAGACACTCCTGAAGAGTACTGTTTCAGTTTCCCTCTATCCTCCTCCAGTATGCTGATTACCAGAAATCTCATTTCTAGATGGTGGCAGTCAGCCTTGTTCCACTTACATTACTCTGCAGATATCGCTCTGACTTGCTTAGCCCTGTCACACAAGAAACACGTGGTGGAAACAGAGTTCCTATTTCCTAACTCCAAGCCTAGGTTGACTCCCAACACACAACAGAACATATCAACAAAACAGGCAGAATCTTGATCCCACTATTTCTGCAAGGCGAGTATAATTAGATTATTTAGCTGTCAGACACAGATCCCCCTAATCGCCTGACAAGTGAATCCTAAAGATGAAAGGGGATGAAATGCCCTCTTGCTGCAGAACCAGCTGATAAAAGCATGAATAACGACCATGATTTGATGTACAGATATTCAGAGGGATGAGACAGATTTAGCAGCAACCTGCCAGTCTTAGCGCTTGGTTTTATGAAGCCAACGGAAGGACAGTCTAGCATTAAATAACAGGTTCTGTTAGCAGAAGAGGCCTTGATGGCAGTTCGGTACACAGCAAATCCCTATAACTGCAGACCAATTTCCTCTGATACTGAATTAACAACGATTACAAAAGTGGTTGAGGTGGAACACAAAGTCACATGAATGAGGTCACGGTACAATCTAAACAGTCTCATTTCCTTTCATTTATGTATTTTGGCTCAACTGCAATCCCTGCAACAGCAGAGAACAACACAAGAGAAGCAGAGCACGCAATGGGCAGTATACAAGTGAGTTTTTCTCACTTGAGGGCACTCCGGCCCTTCCCTACAACTATTCAACCCTGACCGGAGGAAGGAAAGTAGACCTGCGGTCAAGTTTCCTCCT